AACAAACCTACCAAACCATTTTAACAGCCAGTCATTGAGTTTTCACCATCCGTCATGAAAATCCGCCGTATTTCCTGACAGTTAAAGTAAGAACCTTGTAAATATCCAACCCCTTTTTCGCAGTTTTCAGAGGAATTAACTCAAATAATTCTTCATGAACAACAACATTGGTTCTGATGAAAATTAATAGCTGACTGATATCAGCCACGTCAGTGCTCTCATCTAGAGCTAATGAGAAGTATTTATATTTTTCAATGATTCTCCTGAGCTTTGTATTCACATGTTTGTTCATGTCACTTATTCTCCTTGCTAAAGTTTGGTGAGACAGTGCTATACCTTCAAAAGTATTGGCCATTTTTACATCACCAAATCAATGAGCCAGTATAATTGTTGTATTTTGTCTTGTGTCGTGTGTTGTAGTGCCTTCTGATGTTGAACTTCTTCCACACAGATATTACTTGCAAGCAAACAAGGCACTGAAGTTTTCCAATATTTTCAATAATAGCACAATGAACAAGTAATGAATTTCCCAATTACACTGAAATCCTCTATTTTCTACTATTTTCCGTTTCCTACCGAGACTGATAGTCCAGCTGGGCTAGGCCTAGATTCCCAGTTCACACGAGGCACGAGAAGCGTGGATCCTGACTCAGGGGCCGGGTGCGGAGGTGTCCTCCGGATCCGCCCTTCTTCCGGTCACTCTCCATGCAGCATTGTGCTGCCACAGCGCGCAGACCAACCACAAGAGGCCCAGCCAAGAGGTACAACTATGAAGGCTGAAATGGTTTGCAGGCCTCATAAAATCACCCGCCGGGCAGCTGGCGGCCTGAGTGCCACCTTTTGGACCACACTGGACTTAGACTACGAGCTAAAAGTCAGGACGTCGAGCTTGAACCCACAACCTGGATCAGAGGGCGAGTGCTCCTAACTGAGCCAGGCTGGCACCTGATGTGCAGATTTTTGGCTGCAGGAAAACATATAATCAAGATCATGGTGGCCCAACTTTTTGGCCATTGCAGGCCGGATTTCCTATTTGAGAAATGTCCCACACACTCAGACACTTTGTCTTTATTAGCATAGATAAATAACTCAATATATACTCTTATTATTAAGTCGTTTTTGTTAGTATAATAAAATAAATCAGTTCCTATTTTGGTCCAGGCTTTATTTGGTTGCTCGGGCCATATCATTGTGTCTTTCCCGGTTTTGATATCTTGCACGTTTCACATTTTCCAATATAGTCCACTATCTGCTTATTTATATCCAGCCAAAACACAACGTTTGTTCTTTTCGTTTTTTCTATTCCCCAATGTCTTCCATGTATGTTTCTCAATACTTCATTCCTTAATTCTTTGGTATAATTATTCTATCTCCTCAATATATAATGCCTTTTTGCTGGTATATTTCATTTCTGTTCTTCCAATATGGCCAGACCTCTTCTGATGCCTCTCCTGTTTTTAGACCATCCCCTTTTCAGCATTGTCTGAATTGCCTTACTTATCCTACTTCTTTTGTTTTCTTCTCCAATCTCCTTCTCCTGTCTGGTTGCCTTTGCTATTTCCCATACCTGGAATTCCATTTCTTTTTCTAGTTGCAATTCCTCTACCTTCGCCTTTTGACTGGTGGCTCGACTTAGTGTGTCTGCCACATATAGTGTTTTCCCAGGATTTTACTGAGATTCAATGCTATATCTCAATAGCCATGAGGGAGGCAGTGTATTGTGCATATAGCGCGTTATCACGTTTTCGAGACATATCAAAGCGCCTCACAGAACACACTGCAAAGTGGATTGACTGCATATTTTGTGGGTGGAATAAAGCAGCCAATTGCGTACAGCAGTATCCCACAAACAGTCATGGATTCAGTGACCAAATTATTATTGCTATTATTTTTGAAGGAATTATTACCCCCGGAAAAGCAATCTGTCAATCGACTAACAATAATAAATAATAACTTATCTATGATTCCTAACGGTGCTTGTGTCGCTTTCTATCTATCTATCTATCTATCTATCTATCTATCTATCTATCTATCTATCTATCTATCTATCTATCTATCTATCTATCTATCTATCTATCTATCTATCTATCTATCTATCTATCTATCTATCTATCTATCTATCTATCTATCGATCCATCTATCGATACATCTATCGATACATCTATCGATCCATCTATCTATCTATCTATCTATCTATCTATCTATCTATCTATCTATCTATCTATCTATCTATCTATCTATCTATCTATCTATCTATCTATCTATCTATCTATCTATCTATCCATCCACCAATCGACTAACAATAATGAATAATGTTTATTATTATTTATCTGCTAATCGACTAACAATAACAAACAATAACTTGTCTATGAGTCCTATCAGTGTAGCTGTGGAGAACGTCCTCCCGGCATGAAAGGCTCTATACACATGTAATATGCTGTTCTTTATTAAAAATAATAATCCTTGCATTCAATATAGCAAGTAGACAATCAATTCACTTTACAGTGTATTCAGTGAAGCCCTTTGAGTCGTCTCAACAATGTGTTAAGGCGCTACATCAAATGCAGTGATGGTTATGATCAAACATACACACAATCCCAACAAAGTTGTCACTCAGTGGGGAGGGTGAGGATTTGTCTATTTGTCACTGTTTGCAATCTCCCGAGGGAGGTGCACCGTGCCTGGAGATACTGCAATACCAGGTCGATGCGTGGAGTGGACGGAGCAAGCCCCTATTCCATCTCCCTGCTCCAAAAATCAATTTAATATATGGTCCCCAGATAGGGGACGTATCAGATATTAAACTGATAAGAACAGATACTACACTTGATCTTAGCCAAAAGGCCGAGAAGCGATAAAGGCTCTCACTCCCTGTCCCCTCCACAACTGCCTCCGCTCCTCGCCTCAGCTTTCATATGTTTCTCCCCATAAACAGACAGCCCCACACCCAACGCCCGTGTGCAGTCTCTACACCTCCCTCCCCACGGTCAGCTGCCACACACCCTCCTTGCCCTACACACCCCCTTCTCGCCCCTCTTCCCCGCACTCCTGCCTGCCTGCCTGCCTGCCTGCCTGCTGCTCGCTGCTTTCCCTCTGCTTCTGCTGCTGCCTCTTACCTCATTTCCCTACGCCCTCCTTCACAGTGCACACGTCACTTATTTGATTGATTCTCGCTCCCTCCCTCGCTACTCTGACTCAGTGGCCGCTCTACACATTAGCTCCTGCCTTGCCTGCCTGCCTGCCTGCCAGGCCCTACAGCTCACACAACAACTCCTGCTGATAATAATCAGCCTTGCATTTCATATAGCGCCTTATGTCGTCCACACAGTCAATTCCTTTTTACAGTAAATTCTGTGAAGCGCTTTAACACATCACAACAACGTGAAAACGCACTACGTCAAACAAAATAATAATTATTATTGTTAGGGGGATTGGCAGATCGCTTTTCCGGGGGCTATAATTAACACCTTTAAAAATGCAATAAAATAAAATTTTTCAACCATAAGATCACCCTCAGTGTTTCAGAGTATCTGACTAGCAATGTTTTGCTGTTATTGACTTCAGTAGTTTCATATCAATCTTACATTATGAAATTAACACAATGATGGACTTGTATATGTTACTTATAATGAACAATAATGATCGTTGTATTTGATAACGCACCTTAGCAAATTGTTGAAATGTCTCAAAGCATTTCACAGGATTTTTACTGTAAAGTAATATTTTTGGCTGTGTATTTATTTGTAGGTTAACACAAGAGTCAATTTGTGCCCACAAATGCCTCCCAACCAGACATGAAGTGAATGAACCATTTTATCTGGAGGATTGTTGCCTTGGACTACGGGAGAAAGAAATTCCCTTCCCTTTTTGATTAGTACCATAGCGTTTGTAATCTGAAGGCAGATGGAACCTTGGTTGATCATTTCATGTGAAGGACGGCATCTCTGACAATTGCTGTGTTGCTCCAGGACTGAAGTGGAGTATCAGCCTGGACTGTGAAAGTCTCAATGAGGAGCTTGAACCCACAATAATAATGGTTACATTTGATATCTTTCCTGTCAAAGCACTCCACAAAACTTCAGTGTAGAGTGCATTTCTGTATATTTTTGGAGGTGAACACAGCAGGCAATTTGTGCACAGCAATGTCCCACCAATAGCTATGAAGTGAATCATGAAGTGAGTTTACCTGGGGGTTTGTTGATAAGTAGAACAGGCAGACAAGACCACCAACAATGCAATGTTCCCCTGCATTACATTGGAGTGTGAGTTGAAAGTCCGGAAGTAGGGCTTGAACCCACAACATTTTAACTCGGAGGCGAGATTACTATCCGGTCAAGTTTATCAAAGAAATTGAACTCTGCTTTTTGTTATTTCACCCTTACATAAATCACTTAATGACCTAATTCCATAATCTTGTGCTGCTTAAATGTGCTCCTTACACAACACAAAGTTATATAATACACAAATAGAGAGGGAGAGCTGCAATTCAGTTTATTACCAATACTCATCTCCATATGATAACTGATCATATGATACCTTCAAAGTTATTCTCCACCTAAGATTGGGTGTCTGCTTAGGTTGGCCCAGGTTTCCTAACGCTTTTCATGTCATTTTTAATGTGTTCTTCTTTGGCCAGGGGAGTTCTACCTTCACCAAAATAACACAGACAAGAGGAAAGCCCATTTGAAAATAAGTGGTACTTTCCTTTCGTGCAAGTTGAACAGCTGCCACCTGGTGCTGCTGTATAGTTTTGCAGCACCTGCTTTTATCATTCTGTAAAGGGTTGTTTTGGCCCATTGCACAGAAAAGCAACATCAAATTAATTTATATATTTATATATGCATTTATAGAGCTCCCTTCACACCGGGTAGTGTCTCCGAGTGCTAAACTGTGGCAAAGTTTGATACTGAGTTGAAGAGAAAGGGAAAGGATGCTGAAAATCAATACGAGAAAGGAGTTTCTCTCATGCAAAGAATCTGTTGTGTTCCCAACACTCCAAGTGTAGAAATTTATTTTATTCTTGGTTCACAAGTTACAAATCAAATAATCCAATCCAAAACCCTCTGGTCAGTTCTCCACGCTTCCTGCTTTCTGTCTCCTGATCCTCTTTCACTGGTCCTTCATGTGTTGTATCTGAGGTCTCAATTATTTTTCATCTGAGATTAACAAATCTCTTAACTGTATTGACATCAGTATTTGTGCTGGTGGATGACCCTCATTGTCGTTCGGCGTGTTTCTGTAGGCCAGAATTGCCAGGTGCTTATCTGCCTTTATGTTGTCTGTCTTCCACATTTTCTCTATACAACAACAAAAACAACAACAAGATTAGCCTGTATTTCCCAATCCACCAGACCATTATACCATTATATATATATAGTTATATATATTATATATAGATGATACCCCAATGAAGTTGTTTTGTGGTTTTTCTCCCACTGCCTTGTGAATGTCTTGTATTCCTTGCTTGACCAATTATCACTAATTATTTCCCTTGGTATTCCTGGCCAGGCAAAGATATCCTTGGTAATTTCCGCTATAGTTTCGGATGTTGTGTCATTCAACTCTGTATATTCACAAATAGCTGTAACCGTTGCAGCTTCGCTTGTAACCACGAGGTCCAATATGGAATGTAGATTGACACACAGACAGACACACAGACAGACATTTCATCTTTATCTATACTCAGCTGAGAGGACCCCTGTGGGAGGACAATCAGTTTCTCTTAGTCTCCCTCTCTCTGTCTGTCTGTCCCACATGGGAGGACTCTAACTCCCATGACAATTAGAAAACATGCCATACATTTGTTATGGAATATAGATGTATCTCTCTGAATGGTGTGTGCTTTCGTAAAATTGTTACTTATTTATGTATCCGACAATCGACTAACAATAATAAATAATATTGATTATTATTTATCTGCCAATCGACTAACAATAACAAATAAAACTTATCTATATTTTGCCCACAAATATACAGTCAATTCACTTAGCAGTATATACTGTGAAGCGCTCTGAAACGTCTCAAAGACATGAAAAGCGCTATATCAAATGCAAGGATTATTAATATTATTATGAATCCTATCAGTGTAGCTACCAGGGACGTTCTCCCGACATGAAAGGCGCTATACACATGTAATGTGTTGTTGTTTAATAATAATAATCCAGAATGTCTGTCAGACGTCAAGTCCTGGATGAGAGCTAACTTTCTTCAGTTGAACGTCAACAAGACCGAGGCTCTCCTGATTGGCTCCCATCAGCATCTTCTCACCTCAGGCGTTGACAGCATCACCATTCATCATAATAATAATCCTTGGTTACACATTCCACCTTGGTAAGCCAGTCTGGAACTTCGGGGTCTTGTTTGACCCTCGACTATCCATTTGATTTCACATCTGCGCCATGACCTGCTCTGCCTTCCCCTTCCTGTGCAACGTCGCCCGGCTCAAACAATATCTCACACCGCAGACCGCCAAAACCCTCAAACATGCCTTCATTACATTGAGTCTCGACTATGCAAACTTTCTGCTTGTAGACATCCCAACTCCCCCTTCACAGGCTGGAGATCATCCAGAACTCTGCAGCCCGTGTCCTCTCCCGCACTAGGCTCCGTGATCCTATCACCCCATCCTTGCCCAACTCCATTGGCTTCCCATCACACAGAGGATACAGTTTAAGATCCTGGTCCTCACCTTCAAAGTCCTCCACCGTCTTGCTCCCGCCCACCTCTCCAACCTCCTACCATCCTGTTTACTCCCTCTGCTCAGTGGCTCCAGCCTGCTTCATGTCCTCCGCCTTGCTCACCCCACTATCGGCGGGGAGCCTTAACCACTCTGCACCCACCCTCGGGTACTCCATTCCACAGTCCCTCCATCTCGCCCCCTCCCTTGACACCCTCAAGACCCTCCTCTTCAACCGTGCTTTCGATTTCCCTGCCCTCCACCCTCAGCTCCGATCCGTAACACTGTGCCTTGGGACGTCCTCCCGACGTGAAAGGTGCTTTACAGATGTAATTTTGTTGTCGTTGTTGCATTTGATGAGGGAGACTGAGAGAGACTGATTGTCCTCCCACAGGAGTCCTCTCAGCTGAGTATAAATAAAGATGAAATGTCTGTCTGTGTGTCTGTCTGTGTGTCTGTCTGTGTGTCAATCTACATTCCATATTGGCCCCTGTGGTTACTAGCGAAGCTGCAATGGTTACAGCTATTAGTGAATATACAAAGTTGAATGACACAACATCTGAAACTAAAGCGGAAAATGCCAAGGATATCTTTGCCTGGCCAGGAATACCAAGGGAAATAATTAGTGATCATGGGCCCTAATTTTCAAGCAAGGAGTACAAGACATTACAAGCCAGTGGGAGAAAAAACACACAACAACTTCACCGGGGTATCCCCAATGTAATGGTTTGGTGAATTGCGAAATACAGACGATAGAGAAAATGTGGAAGACAGACAACGCAAAGGCAGATAAGCACCTGGCAATTCTGGCCTACAGAAACACGCCGAACGATAATGAGGGACATTCACCAGCACAAATACTGATGTCAATACAGTTAAGAGATTTATTAATCTCAGACCAAACACAATTGAGACCTCAGATACAACACAATAGAAATGGAGGGAAACCACAAAGTGAACCAGGAAAGGGAGAACTTTTGCAAAAGGAGAAAAAATACCAAAAAACAGAACCTTGGACAAAAGGAGACATTTGGAAGAAGGATAAAAACCCAAGATCATATTGGCTTAAAAGTGATAACAGAAAAATATATAGCAGAAAGTCATGGGAAATACGCCAAAGAAGGACAGAGGAAGAAAAAGAAGAGCAGATCCGAATATTCTAGAAACATCAAGAACCTGTAGCCTATAGATGATCTGTAGCCTATGAAGGGATGAGTTGGGGAGACAAGCAGTGAGTTTGCATAGTCAAGCCTCGATGTAATGAAG